CCAGGTCGCTGCGCACGACGAACTCCCAATGGACTTGCTGTTTTTTGGTCTTCGGATTTATTCTGCCAGGTTGCGCGATGGCGCTGTCGTGCAGCACCTGCTCGCCATCGATATTTGGCGGGCACTTCGCGTTGAGACGCTGCGCTTGGGCCATGTGCGGGTGGCCCAGCAGGACGCGCGCCACGACGAGACATCCTCGCTGCCATGGCGAGTGGCCTTGCAAAAGTCCGACGTGACATGAACGCCGCTGCCGTAAAGGGCATTATCAATGAAACGGTCGTCGAACCCCTGTTTCGCGATCTCCTGAACGTTCTCTTGAGACGTGCCGTGCAGAAGGAGGGCATCGTTGGATTGGTCATTGACCTGGATTTGGTCGAGAACCCCTTGCAGTTTCAGGGCCGGCTCCACCGCGTCGCGGGGCCACGGGCAGTTTCTGCGGCGGTGAAGCTGCTGGGCAATCTGCGCGCCCCTCGCGACGCTCTTCTGCCACTCGGGGATACTCCCGACCGGTCGAACGCGCGTCACCGAAAGCACCGTCCGCCGGGGGCCCCGTTGCGCCCTCGTCGCCACCTCGTCCGCTGGGTGGCTTCAGCGAGGTTTCGCCACGTTGCTGCCAATGCCGCCTCGTTGCCGCCTCGTGCGCTGGGTGGGTGCAGCGAGGCTTCGCCATGTGACCGCCCGTTGCCGCTTCGTTGTCGCCTCGTGCGCTGGGCGAGTCCGGCGAGGTTTCGCCACGTTGCCGCGCGTTGCCACCTCGTTGCCGCCTCGTGCGCTGGGTGGGTCGGGCGAGGTTTTGCCATGTGGCCGCCCGTTGCCGCGTTGCCGCCACGTGCGCTCGGTGGGTCTGGCGCGGCTTCGTCACGTTACCGCCCGTAGCCGCTCGCTGCCAACTCGCGCGCTGGGTGAGTCTGGCGAGGTTTCGCCACGTCGCCGCCTCGTTGCAGCCTCTTGCGCTGGGTGGGTCCGGCGAGGTTTGGCCACGTTGCCATCCGTTGCCGCCTCGTGCGCTGGGTGGGTCTGGCGAATTTTCCAAACGTTGCCGCCCGTTGCCGCCTCGTTGCAGCCCCTAGCTTGCACTATATGTGCTGCACCTCGTAGCTTTCACCCAATAGCTTGCGCCACAGAACTTGCACATCCACAATGCGATACCTGACTGTTTGGGGCCCACGTTGGCTAGCCTGAGAGAGCATTGGTTGTCATGTGATTTGAAGAGCTCTATCTTGAAAGGCTTCCGAAACCAACGGTCCTTGAAAGATGCGTAGTATGATTCGACAGGGATGAGGGGGTGCCGATTCCGCTTCAGCTGGGGCGGTGTTCTTCCCCAGACATTGCTTGTACTTAGGATGTCTTACTTGTGTTCTAAGGAACTGGGCCTGTCTGCCAGTCTGGTGGCTATGTTGCCGCAATCGCCGCCCTGTCGCCGTTTTGTCACCGCCCGTCGTCTGGGCCTGTCTGGCGGTCTGGCGGCTGTGCTGCCGCAGTCGCCGTCCCGTCGCCGCCTCGTCGCCATGATCGGGCGCACGGGGGGGGGGCGGCCCTTTTGGCAGTCGATGGCCCCTCCCAGTGCAGGAACTCGCGCAGCTTCGCCTCGCCCGCACGCACGACACGAACCGAAACCGAAACCGATTACCCGGTTGGGGTAACTTCCGTTCCCACCTCCCCAAATCCGATCTATATGTGTATATAAATCAATATAGATCTATCATTCGATCAGTCGATCAATCAATCCATCTGTTATTCTATATGTTGCTCTACCATTTGGTCGAACAGTATACCAATGTCAATACATATCACTCCATCAATCTACGAATACATATATATCTGTATGTATGTATACACATATATTATGCAGTTTTTGTTTGTATATATCGATATACGACCTGTTCACCTACCTACCTATCAATCTATGAACGACCAGGACATGATCTCAACGTATCAGTATATACACAGATTCCCTCTAGATCTATATATATATATATTCATATACCGCTCAAGCTAACACTACATCAATGTATCCATATGTCAATCGATCTATCGATGAATGTATCGACCAACATGTATATATACATATATATATATATCCATCTATGATCGGGAAGACGTAAGACTCGGGTACGGGGGACTCGGGTTGGCCTGACGGAGCCATCATGAAAATGACGAGACCAAATCTGAAAGTTGACGCGATCTCCCGCTGCAGACATCCCACAGAAGCTGGACCGTCAGAATCCAGGACGCGCTCGTCTAAAACCGTTGGCAAACCCGAGTTCCGGCATACTCGAGTCTTACGTTTCCCCGATATGAACCATCGGGACAAGCATCAGGACAAGCATCAGGACCACCATCTGGACAACCATCGGGACAACCATCGGGGCAACCATCGGGACAACCATCGGGAAAACCATCGGGAAAACCATCGGGACAACCATCGGGACAACCATCGGGACAACCATCGGGAGAACCATCGGGACAACCATCGGGACCATCGGGAAAACCATCGGGACGACCATCGGGACAACATCTAACGACATCACCATCGGAACAACCATCGGGACAACCATCGGGACAACCACAGCCATCGGGACAACCGCCGGGACAACCTGGGGGGCCACGCCTGGGGCTCGGGGGGCGGCCCTTCTGGCAAGCGGTGGCCCCTCCCAGTGCAGGAACTCGCGCAGCTTCGCCTCGCCCGCACGCACAGCACGGACGAAAACCGATTACCCGGTTGGGGTCACTTCCGCTCACGCCCCCCAACCTCCGATATTCCCCTTCCTACATTTGTAATCTGGGGGGCTGCGAAAACCCCTCCCCCGAAACGGGACCCCCCAGATCCAGTGCACGGGGGGAGGCTGGAAATCCGCACGCAGACGGGTGGCAGTCCCAAATCGATCGGCGAAAGGCCCAAGAGCAACTCAAGACGGTCGAGGATGCCATCCAGCTAGCCTCGACCCCCGCCGGATGCCCGAAGATCACCTTAATGTCACCCCAAAGAGGCGTTCGAACCCCAAAAACATAGATGTTTCACTATTTCTTGTATGATTTTCGGGAACTCCCTAATTCGGCCTTCCGCGCGTCCGAGAACGTTGGAGACGCACTGACAACCGCTCCGAGACGGTCGAAACCCGAAACCCGAAACCCGAAACCCAACCAAACCCGACCCCAAACCCTAAACCCTAAACCGTGCCCTAAACCCTAATCGCTGAACTGTAAGCCATAAACCCGAACCCCCACCCTAAACCCTAAACCCGACCCCAAATGAGCCCCATAAGCGCCCGAAGCGGCCCCCAAACTGCTCACAAGAGTCCCCGTGACCGCCCAAGACTGACCCCACGACGGCTGGCCCCACAAACGGTCCAAGATGGCATCATGCGGTCCGGGCCCTGGCTGGGTGCTCGAAGGCGCTTCGAATGTCACCTCCAGGAGGCGCTCGAAACCATGAGCATCTTGCTTTTTCTGTGGTGGTTGCATGCTCTTCGACTGTGTCCTCCTTCGGCTTGCCAGGCGTCCGAGAACACCGGCGAGGCACCGAAAACCTTTCCCGACTCCAGAAAAGCCGCACAGGGGGCCCAAGACGGCTCCTGAACTGCCCACAAGCGGCCCCATGAACGCCCCAAATTGACCCCAAGGCGGCGGGCGGAAAGCCCAAGACACGCCCAAGGCGCTTCAAAATGGCATCAAGTTGGCTTTGGCCTCGTCGGATACCCTGAAGCGTCCCGAAAGATACCTCCAAGACGCGCTTGAATCCGAAAAACACCCTGATGTTTCAATGATTTTGTCAGGTTTACTACCATTCGTTCCTTCGGCCTGCTGGGCGTCCGAAAACATTGTCAAAGCTCCGAACACCGCTCCAATTAAACCCAAACGCGCTTCCTGAATCCCCAAAGCGGCCCCACGAGGGCCCGGGACGGCCCCAAAACTGCCCATGGGCGGCGCCCTGACGGCCAGGGGAGGCCCCAACACAAGCCAAATCAGCATCCTCACTCTTTCGGAAGGCGCCATGAGGGCCCATAGGCGGCTCCATGACAGCCCGGGGACACCGTCTGGACGCTCCTCAACAGGGCCACCCAGGAATTCCAGCTCTCCAGGGCGCCTTCTCAACGTTCACCCAAGCGTGCAAACGGGCGAGCGGCAATCCCAAGACGCCCCGAGGACAGTCCGAGGTGGCTCCGAGATGGGCTGGGCCACAAGGCCCTCACACCGCTTCGGCATGCCCCCATGTAGATCCCTGAATTCTCGCCCGCTATGATGGTATTTCATTACGGAAAGCCGCAGTTTGGCCACAACCCCAGGTTCGCAACCACTTATCTGGAAGTTCTGCTGGGCACCCAGACTTCAGCGATTTCCATATACGCCATTCCGTACGCCCGTGGTCTCCGACTCAGTCTTTGCCCGTCCCAAACTGACTGCCCCCTTCTCCCCTTCACCCGGTTCTCCGTGATACGAGCAAGCGAGCACGCCGCAAAGGGAAAAGAGGAAGGCGCGACAGGCCAACCGCTCCAACAAGGTGCATGGCGCGAAGCGCCAACGCAGCCTTGTATATCTATATATACAGAGAGAGGGACAGGGAGAGATAACCAATCGACTATGATAAAGAACGGAGCATTGAGAGAGACAGAGTAGAGAGTGATAATCATAAATGCGTCTGTATGTAGATGTAGAGAAGAAAATAGATAATGATACATGTGTGTATATATATATCGAGAGAAACACATAAAACAAACTAGGCTGGACTACACTGTAACATACTCGGACCGGACCTGGGCTGGAGGAAGGCCGACCGATGCACCTGCGAAAAATTCAGACATCCACTGATTGGAGGCTCTCTGGTGTAATTGCGGCCGACGCCCAAGTGCTTCCTAGGATGAACAGCAACTGGTGTTGGGCAGGTGGCAATCGCCGCTACGCGGACCGCGATCGCCGATAGCGACCCCTCTCAGAGATGAGCAGGGACCGCTACCAGTCATCGTCAATGTTCGTTTCGTTCCCGATTCGCCCTCCCGAGCTCCCCTGGCTTGAAGGCACACTGGTGCGACAGCAGCCGGTAGTCCTGGCCCTGCGCCGCGTCGCCGCCGTCGGCGCTCACGGCCACCGCCGCCGCGCCCGAGCAGTCGCCTGTGCGGGCGACCTTTCAAGGGACCCAAGAACACACAAATAAATACACACACAAATAAAAGGATTCCCCATATTTTTCCATATTTTCTGGTATTCTGTCTTCCCGCCCAATTCCCATATTTTCCCATATCTTCTAGGGAATCGACGATTCATTGTGTCTGTGTGTTTTTCCCCTCATGAACCTTGAGCTCTATCACGCCGCTGGGTGGGGCCTCGAAGGAGAGGGACGTGGCCCAGTCAATTGTGCAGACATCCCCACGGGCGTCGTCCGATCCCTCCTGGCCAAGACTTTCAGTGCACGTGCCGGATATACTATGCCTGCTGGCCAGGGATGACCGAAGCGAGTGCGCCCATGTGGACGACTGGGATCCAACCAGGTCGGCACACAACTCGTCTATCTCCGTCTTGCGCGTACAGCGTTTGCCTAACATGCCCGATCGCAACCAACACATCTCCCACACGATGATCCAAACTACGCAGCCCACTAACACAACGGACGATACTGTAAACAACAACGGGTTGGAAATGTTAACCCACCACGGCAGGTTCCGATCAGACCAAACCTTCCATATGTCTCGATTCTGACGCACCCATTGGCATGCGACATTTCGAATCAGCTCCTCGCCATCACCGTCTGGCATAATGCCCTGAAAATGGCCATAGACTCCCAACAACTGGCTAATCCCTGCGTCGTGAAGATCTACATCCGCAAAATCAGTAATGTTTTGGAGGAGATCTGGCGGAAGCTTTGTGCCAACAGGTATTTTGAAATGCACGGCCAACTGCTCAACCAGCGGCGCATTTTCAGGAATGCTGTTGGACATAACTTTTAGCAACTGCTGACCAGATGTATCGCATCTCCACGTGCCCAACCGACTCGAGTCACTTGCATCGTGCTCTCCACAGTCATCCTCCGCGGGGAGCCAAACTCTTGTAAAATCATTCGCTGCAATCCCCACTGTCGGCACCCAGAAGTAAAATAGGAATGGGGCTCTATGCCTCGCAACTTCTTTCACGAAATCAGGCACAGGCAAATCCAGGTATCGGAAGGCGACATGGAGGTGCTGGTTGTGGGCAACCTCTTCGAAGATCTTGCGCTCGTAACCTGGGAAATGAAAAATTGGAACTGGGCCAAAACTTGCATCGCCATCTACATGCGCAGGGCACCACAGACTACAACTGCCACTGCTGCACGCCAGACATGTTATGTTTGCTGGCTCGGTGTCCCAATTTCGAAACGGCCACAGCCGGGAAGCATCCGTGCCACGCGACGGATCAGAACAATCTATAGAATGAGACGACTCGTTGATCAACCGAAACCGCTGCATGCTTTCCGGAAACGATGTGTGGATTCTGAGATTATTGAACGAATCAAGGTTCAACGGGCTCTCGGCGGACGCTCTGGCTGTGTACAGGCCACTCCGCCCGACGTAGCCGATCCTGCCTGCACTTGTTGCCTGCTTCGTTACTGTGGTCATGTGTTCTATGTCAGACTGCTGCTGTTCCGTCCAGACCTCTAAGGCTACGTACCCGAACTCATCCCCTGCTTCCAGCGCCTGCAGCAACGCTGTGCCATCGGCCCCGTCTTTGTCTATGTTGTCTCCCTTGAGGGAGGCCCGCCTGAATGCACGGTTGCTTGTGCCAACCCGATTTTCAACGACCTCGTAACCCAAGTACTCTTCTACCAGGATTCTGAAGATGGCGGTGACCAACTGACTGGAGGCCCAATTGTGCACCTCCAGCATAATATACGGCAGGGCCGGCTTCCGGTACCGCAGCAGAGGCTGCTCGTCGATCAAGCATCGCCCAGCGGCCTCCAAGGGCGCGACGATCAGCACCACTCGAGATAAGAACGATCTGATCGCAGTGCCATGCATAGAACTGCTCGGCACAAGGCCTTGCAGTGCTCGGCAACTCTCTGGCAGACAATGGCTGGGGGCCTCGAGAAACAACAGCTGCGGACCTGCGACGTCGATCATCACTGCTCCAGGTGTCGGGTAGGGGTTGGGTCCTGTCCTGCTGGAAGCCGCCTCGAGGTGGGAGAAGAAGTGTGGCAGGAGGGGGAACAACATTGGGTCAAACAGAAGGGGGAAACGGGAAAGAGAGTAAGTGAGAGGAAGAGGGAACGAGGAGTGCAGAAGGCGGAACGACGAGATGGGGGAGACAAGGAGGCAGAAGAGAAGAAGGGCGGTGAACACGTTCGATCTTACTGGATCGGCGGGGACGACCCACGAGGGCGCGCCCCCAGAAGCTCCCCAGACGGCCAACGGGACCAAACACACCCCGAGATGGCGCCACGACTGCCCGAGAGGGCCCCGAGATGGCCCCAGAGACATGCGGCCGGAAATCAGAAAACGTCCGATCATCTCTGACCTCGAACCTCGATTCCTCGATTCCTCGATCATCGCCTTCTGCTGGGATGGCCTGCAGGGCAGCTTTTAATACATAGGATTTTTGTTTTAATATAGGATTCTTAATACATGACAAATTTATGCATAAATCTATGCATGAACTCATCGTTGTTTTTAGTACTACATCCCTGCATTTTTAATACATGATCCGCGCGCGAAGCATGTATTAAAAACGGCACTGTATCCCGATTGGGCGCAACTCAATGGAGGACGATCAATGAAGGGGGGCAGCGAGGGCTGCAGAAAAAGGGGCCCTTCGGGGCACCTGGAGGAGCCCATGAATGGCCCCAGAGGGTGCCCTCAAGGCCCGGAACGAAATATATTTCGGCCACTCCACTCATCGCCCCACATTACAGGACAGTTTTTAATACATGGGATGTTTAAAAAAACAAATGATTCTTAATACATGATTAATGTGCTAATGAATCAGTGCACAAATTCATCGTTGTTTGTGATACTAAATCCCTTTATTTTTCATACAAGGTCCGCACGCGGAGCATGTATTAAAGACGGCACTGCACGGTGGAGGCTTTCGATGAGGATACCTCCGATGAGGAGCCCATGGGTCTCGCGACCGAGGGGCGGCCACACGCGGGCCGCCCTCCTCGCCCTGGCACAACCAAGAGTGCCACAGGGCCTTGGCCCCAGGAAGACGTTCCTTTAAAACGACGCGGAGATCGGGACAAAATCGGATCGGGATAACTCGAAATCTCTGAGAATCGGCGGGTTTGGAGGATGTATTGGGCGCCGCGGCCGCTCCAAAGCGTTCCGGAACGCTCTGAGAGCGCTCCGGAACGCTCTGGAGCGATTTATCCCGATCCTAGCCCTGTTTTATCCTTATCCAGTGCCGCCGCCGCAAGCCGCGCACAGCCCGAACGACAGCGCCCTCCTCCGGGCGGCGAGGGACAACAAAAACGGGGAGCGGCCGCCTCGGGGGGCCGCCTGGGCGGCCAGGAGAGCCCTCTCCCGGAACTGCGCCCGCCCTCCCTCCCTCCCTCCACCGCCCCTCCCTCCCTCCGCCCTCCCTCCCTCCCTCCACTGTCCCTCCCTCCCCCCTCCTTCCTCTTCCCTCCTTTCTCGCCCCTCCTCCCTCGTCGCTCTTCCCTCATTCCTCCTCATCCTTGCATCCTCCTCTTCTTCCTCCTCCTCCTCCTCCTCCTCCTCCTCCTCCTCTCTCCCTCCGTCCCTCCTTCCCTCTCTCCCTCCCTTCCTCCTCCCTCCTCCTGGAATCCTGCTCCCTCATCATCCCTCCCTCCTCCCTCCTCGTTCATCCTTCCCTCCACCCTCCTCTTTCCTCTCTCCTCTCTCCTCGCTCCTCCTCCTCCTCCTCCTCCTCCTCCTCCTCCTCCACCTCCTCCTCCTCCTCCTCCTCCTCCCTCCCTCCTCCCTCTCTCCCTCATCATCCCTCCATCCGCCCTCCTCATCCCGCCCCCGCCATCGAACCTCCTCCATTCTCTGGCTCCTCCTCCTCCACCTCCTCCTCCTCCTCCTCCGTTGGAACCAACCTTCGGAACCCGTTCTGGGGGGGTCCTCCACGGGAGCCGATGCCCACGTGTTCAAAATTAGAATATATTGGCAAGAGAACCGAAATTGGTGCGGGAATGACCACGGAATGGAAGTTCAGATGCAACGCCCGCGCCGACGAATACGCCGAGCCAGGATCAGCGAGGAGCAGCATCAACTGTGGACAGGCGTACGAGCCTTGGTGCTGGAAGCGGCTCGTTGGGCTGTGAGTGTGCACATCTAGTGCGACGACCAGGCCGACCAAAAGGACATCGTGAAACCGCTTCTCAGGAGCCGTGCTGCAGCTGGCCAGGTGGACGAACGGCCAGCCGAGGAGCCGCCAGCCGAGGTCAGCCCAGAAGAAGTCGGCGCCACTCGATACCTTTCCATCGGTCCGTCGGCATCGGCTCATCCACAGGGGAGGGTCTTCTCACTGGAGGCAAGGGTCAAACAACTTCAGGCCGAGGCCAGCCCGTGCAGCTTCGGAGGGCAACCCGCAGGCTCCCACCTCCGCTGCTGCCGCAGCCGCTGCGCGGCCGCCGCAGGACTGGGCGTGAGCTCCCCAAGCCGCAGCACAAACGTGTAACAGCACCCACTTACCACCTACCCTCCCATCCCGCATATTCCGCCGCACTCGGCGGTGGACAAACCTCCCTTTAGTAAACCTCCCCTTAGTGAAAACGGCCTGGGACAGAAACCGACGGACCTGGGCCCGCAACAATAACGGCCGCGACGCCCTCTCGCGAACTGGAAACGGCCAATTCCTCAATCGACGTGTCAGGGTAGGAGGTCTGTCCAACCCCGACGCACACCGCATGTCGCACCGGCCAGCGTCATCATCGCCGTACGCCACCGCGGTGCGCGCTCATCGGAGGTGCGCGCCGCCGCTGTCGGCGCCAGCTGCGCTGCCTGGGGTGCGGGCCGAGGTGTTCCGAGTGCTCGGGGTGGTGGTGCACGACCTCCCAGTGGCCAGCCGTGCGGAAGCTCGGGCGGCGAGGACGACATAGAAGGCCAGGAACTCGGACTTGCCGCGCCGCCCCGACGGCGAGGGCGACGATGAAGGCCAGGACTCCTGGCCCAACTGTGTCTATGCAGCTGCGACTCGACCTCGACGGGCAAACCCAAAACACCGTACCATATCATACCATACTTCCTCCTCCTCCTCCTTCTCCTCCTCCTCGCTCACTCGAACCTTCGACTGGGGATTGTTTGTTTATGCCCTCCCAGTGACGTCCGTAACCGGGGGGGTGGGTCGGGCCCCCGTGGGGAGGTAGGGGAAACGTGGTCGGACCACGGGGAAGGGGGGGCCCAGGCGCCGGACGACGCCGACGCCGACGCCGACGCCGACGCCGACGCCGACGCCGCCGACGACGACGACACGGCGAAGACAAATACGTCGCCGACGAGGCTGAAAACAAGGACGAGGACGAGGACGAGGCGGACCACGACGACGACGACGATGACGAGGACGACGACGAGGACGAGGACGACGACGACGACGTGGACGTCGACGACGACGAAAACAACGGCGACGACGACGAAGAGGAGGACGACGACGACGACGGACGACAACGACGACTACGACGCCGACGACGACGACGATGATGGCGACGACGACGACGACCCCCTCTGAAGGTCTTCAGTGGTCTCCAGAGGCCACAATTGGCCTCCGGAGGCTTCTGGAGGCATCCGGAGGACCAGCGAGGCCCTCGGAGACGACGACGACAATAAGAACGAGGACGAGGACGAGGACGAGGACGACGACGACAACGACGGCGGCGGGGGCGGCGACGACGACGACGATGACGAAAAAGAGCGAGGGACGAGGGGGAGGACGAGGACGACGACAACAAGGACGGCCGCCTCTGAAGGTCTCAAGAGGTCTCATAGGCAACAAGAGGTCTCCAGAGGATTCTGGGGGCGTCTGGAGAACCTGCGAGGCCCTCGGAAGCAACGGCGATGACGAGAACGACGGCGAAGACGACGAGGACAGGTCGAGGACAAGGACGAGGACGAGGGTAACGACGACGATGACGACGATGACGACGAAGACGACGACGACGTGGCGAGGACGAAAACGAGGACGGGCGTCTACAGGCTCTGACGGCGCTGCGGGGGTCTGGGCCGCAGGCTCTCACCCCCGCGGCCGAACGGCGCGCGTGGCGGCTCCCCGCGCGCAGCTCCGGCTCCCTCCTCCTCGGCGGGCGCCGCCAGGCGTCCGCCGCCAGGCCCGCCGCCACGCAGCTGGCCTCGCCTCTCCTCTGACCTGCGCGCCCTCCGCGCTGGTCACGGCTGGCGTCGGCTGCCCTGCAGCGCGCGGCAGCCATCACACTCGGCTCGGAGCGCCCGCCGCGCCCTTGCCGTGGCCGCCCGTTCCCCCCAGCGCGCGGCTCTGAACCTCCCTGCCCCTCCTCCTCAAGGCAGGCTCCTACCCTCGCGCAGCCTCCGCCTTGGCTGCCCTCGCCCTCCTGCCTAGGGCCAGCAGGCCGTCCTCGTCGACGGCGTCGCCCAGCGGCCTCAGCGGCAGGGCTCCGCCGTAGGCGTTGGGGCCTCCTCCAGCATCGCGCCCTCCTCTTCGCCCCCTCGGGGCGTCATCCTGCACTTGAAGCCGCTCGCCAGCCGCGGCCTCCAACTCCTGCCCGAGAGCTCTGCCGACTCAGTCTCTGAAGTCGCACCTGCGCGCCCGCCTGCAGGGCAGCGGGTGCAGGCCTTTCCTCGGCCTCCAGACCTGCTCATTGCAGCACTTGCTCTCGCTTCGTCATTTTTGAAAGAACAACTCACCTCGCCTCCACTCGACAGCCATGTGGCCTTGAGCCCCGCTGGCCAGGCCCATCTCGCCGTCGCCGTTCTTCCACTCCACCAGAAGGCGCCCCAGCCGCTTGATCACGGGTCCGAGGTCCTCCTCATCAAGACGCGCGCCTCCTGCCTCTGCGCCGGCGTCTTGGCTGGCTTCCCAAGCCTCCTCTCCCTCCTCCTCTGCATTGTCGTAGGCCCTCTGCAGCTCGACGAACGCGCCCTCCAGGGAGTCTGCTCGCAGTCTGCT